ACATGAAAAAAACTCATATAGAAAAGTATTATGCTGATACAACTGGTGGTTATTTGGGGTCTTGAAATTCTCAGGTAGAGATTACTCTGCCAAGCAGATTTTCTAATGCACCAGCCTATACTCCGAGCTCATTCCAAGTTGTTGTTATGTGGCTTCAAGTAATAGTCCAGTGCTCAAACAGCTACACAATTCTGGCTCTACTACCGCAAAATACTCAAAGTTAAATTTATCTTTAGTTCTAAGACAGACTCTCAGCAGATTATCTTGCTTCCAGAAAGCAAGTGTTTTCCATTTTTCATTTTACTTTGCATCTTTTTTCTGTTAACAGGATGATTTTGTACTGATGGTAAATCTATCTTTGTGCTTCTCTTAATTTGCAGAATCCATTCAATTTTATTTTCCACTAAATATGCTTGTTTCAATGCTGTTTACTCATACTAAATGGCTGCCTTCCTTAAATAGGCTATATTAAGCTGCCGTAGTCTTTATTTTGGTCCATTAATGAACTGTCCTGATGGANCTGATGGAAAGACACTAATGAATTTGTTTAGGAATGTAGTTGTTACAGCCACTAAGCTAAGGGAGAAGATTGTGTAAAACAATATCTTTGATTATGCCTGCTTTGAATACTTGATGTCTTGTTTTCTTTTGAAAGGTACCAAGTCTACATGTTTACACCATTGAATTAACCCACGGAGAGTTTACATGGCAAGTGAAAAGGAAATTCAAGCACTTTCAAGAATTCCACAGGGAACTGCTTAGATATAAAGCTTTTATACGGATTCCCATCCCTACAAGAAGGTAGCTGCCTGATATTTCCAAACATTGGTGTTATTGGTTGAAATGAATTTGGAGAGTGTGCCTCTTGTTGTTGTTGTTCTTATTGTTTGCTTTGAAATTGATTTTGACTGACAGTGAGCCAATCGTAGGGTTATCTTGGCAATCATAGAATTTTATTGTTTGAAAGAACTATAAGGACTATCTATCAGGTATGGGAAAACTTCAGCCCCCCTGGTGTTTTGGACTCCAACTCCCACAATTCCTAACAGCTGGTAGCTGAAGTTTGCCCATACCCAATCCAATCCAATCCACTGATGTGTCATTGCCTTTTAGGCTGAGAATATGAGTCCACCAAGATCACTCATTCTGAGCAGGGATTCACATTATGGTTTCCCAGAATCCTAGTACTTTGCTTCTCAGTTGCTCATAACCGTAAGTAAGTTTAGGTACTAGTACATTATAGACGTGTGAAAACCCAGAATGTCATGATTGGTATCAAATGTAGCTTTGTGAGAACGTTCATATTTTTTTTGTTGTTGTTGTCACAAGAGTCCTGTGAGGAAAGTGGTGTCGAGGGAGATGTGACTGGACCAAGGTCACCTAATGAGCTTTATTGATCAACTTAGATTTAAACCTGAATCTCTGCAGCACTCCAGCCATTACAATACACTATTTTTTGTAAACCCAATGTATAGCTATCCTTTATAGCTGGGAACATAATGTTTGAGAAGTGTGTGGGAATACTTGTTAAAATCTCAGAAGGTCAAGAAGTGGCTCGATTGAATTAAATTAGAAAACATATGGAGTCAGGTTGAATGGTCTTTGGAAACAGATGGAGGCAGAGTAGAAATTAAAAATGTATGATGGTTGATAAGCTGTCATAAACCTTTTTACCAAAAGATCCA